TGGACTTCCAAACCTATTCTATTGTATAGTAATTACTCAAGTTCACTATTCGCTAAAAGTACCTGTTGTAAGGGGGAGGGGGGGCTGCAAGGAATTTGAACTCTGGTGGTGATTACAGCGACCAAACCAAACCAGGCCGCGGTTGAAGGTCTGGCTGGCAGAAGGGGTTGAGGGTGGGGGTGGGGTACTTCACTGAACAAAAATTGAGGTACGCTCTGTTTAAAAAATGAGGGGAAAAAACAGAAAAAATGAGGAAAATCAGTAGAAAATCAGAAAAATAAAGGGAAAATTAAGGCAGAATCAATCAGAGATAGTACGAAAAATTGGTATTCTTGAATTTCTAGTGAAGTACCCGGAAGCACCCCTCTAGGGAGCCCGGAGGGGGGGGGGGGGCTGCCTAAATAACGACCGGTTGCCTACCTACAAGGTGGGCCCTCATTCGGTATAGTTTTGTTCTATATTTTGTATGTCTTCTGTAAATTTAATGCACTTCGCTCAGCTACGCCGTGCATAATGTTAACGCACGGGGCCCTACGTGTATGATAAATGTAGACATGACCGGCTGAGTGCAACCCTTTTCCTTAAATTATGTTGCAAATTTCCAGTCTTGTCGCCATCCAGTCATTTTCCAATCGTTTTCCAGTCAGCCAATCACATTCGAGTCCTTACCAGTCATTTTCCAGTCACCCAGTCATGTCCCAATCCTCCAGTCAATCCCAATCATTTTTCCAGTCATCCAATCGGTTCCAATCACCCACCAATCTTTGACTGGGCCAGTGGTGTACACGATTTTGGGGAGTTACGTCCCCCTCGGTTGAAGTTTTGGCATGAAACTTTCAGGAATGATCCCTTTTGACATTTGGAACACATCCGTACAGATAAACCCGGTGTCAACATCTTCAACCCCTTTCCAGGGGGTAGCTACCTCCGAGTGACCGTGCACCCCTTTGGGAGAGGATGGCGGATCTGTTAAAGAACACCCCAAGGAAGCTTCCTCAAATTTTAAAGTCGATCGGACCAACTGTTCCACGTACAGACTCGATAAAGTAGCAAATCGTTCAAAAACTACCCCCAAGTTTCACCTGCCCTGTCGCCGAACTGAGGAGGGTTAGCGACCCCACCCAAAGCGTCCCACCTCGGCCCAACCTTCATCTCGAAGGCCGCAAAGTCGTTGGCCCCTGCGGTGCGAGCCAAACGGAGGAAATGTTCGCCTTAAAGGGCTCTGCTTTGATGCGTTACCCGTTAGGAAACTGTAAATTTTTAGCAGATGACACTACCAGTATCAATGCTTGTACAACAGCTTAATGGGTAGCGTTCACGATGGCCAAGGTCCAGTATTGTCAACAATACTGGGCGATAATCCTTTTAAATTAATATTATTGGAGGAGCGGGGTCAGATGGGTAGCGTTGACGATGGCCACACTCACAAAAATGTTTTCTTCCCCAATCCCAAAAATATTCTTGACTCAATTTTACTTGGGATGAGAATAATTTTCTCCAGTGAAGGCGATTTTTCTCTTTCGAAGAAACATGGTTTTCTTCCCACAAGAAGAAAATATTTTTGAAACATTCTCCTTAGCCCAAGAAAACAATATGCTTGTGCGAAAGAAACATGTAACTTGGCCGGGCGGGCGTAGGTGGAGGGGGGACGGGCAGATTAAGGGTGGAGCGCGCGAGAGGACCGGGCTTACCTGAGGTACAAAGGCAGCGCTGGGGACAATGTCAAGCATGTAGCTTCATAGCTCACCAAACCTAAAAACAATACCTACTTGTTAAAAATGTTGATTTTATAACATTTTATTGGCCGAGATCCTGTACACTGTTAAACAAGCAGGCCCGCCCTTCCGCCAAACGGAGTGGCCAGCTCCACTTCGCTGCGCCGGCAACTCCGTTCGGCAGGGGCCGGGCCTGCTTGGCCTGCCGGCGGCGATGGTCGGGCCTTCGGCCCGACCATTTCAGTCCCACGATTTACTGCAGTGCATAATCAAATAAATAATGTGACCGGTAAATCACTTATATATATTATATATTCGAGTAAACTAAAGCGTCCGGCGAGGGGCCTGCGGCCCTAGAAATTTGCTCCTTGGACATGACAAAAGACTGTAACGGGGCAACACCGTGACTACAGCCCCCCCTTCTGCTTTGCTTTAGAATTTTAAAAAACGAACCCGCGCAGTGTTTTGGTTGTATATTGTTTGTTAAACAGTCCTAAAACTTGACTTTTGGCCATTGTTTTCAATATATCCACCTCTAGGGCCGAAACAGTGAAAGATACGGCAAATCCGAGGCTAGTTACGGATTCAGAATGTGTTGTTTTGGGGGGTACTTCCTCTGACATTTTACGATTGGACGCCTCCTTGTACGTCTTTATGTGCAACGTGGTCATTTTCGCCGTATTTTCGTCGAAAAAAGCACTCTAGCGCCCAAACGGTGCAAGATAGAGTCAAACGGACGAAATTTTCGCCCAAAGAGCTCTACTTTTACGAGTTA